TACAAGCCTCTTTCTATTATATTTTTTTGTTTTATCGTTTACGAGCTTTTCTCTAACTTTTTGGCGATACGAGAATCCCTCGTAAAACATAGTGTTCGTAAAATGTACGTTTTCTTGCTGGCTGGGAGGCAGTCTGACGTTTGCCAGCAATATAATTTTAAAATTCGAACTCAAGCTCACACACACATTCTCATTTTTGATCTCAAACAACAACAATAGTGAACAATTTAATTTTTTTTGCAAACGTCAGAGAAAAATCATAGCCTACGAATTGAGAGAATGATTTTACCTTCTAATGTTTTTATCATGCCCGATACCATGTAAAAAAAAGAGCCACATTAGAATTTCTGGTAGACTTGCTGCCCACAATAAATTTCACATAATTGTTATATTCGATTTTTTTGTTAAGCAACATACATATGTACTTATGTTTTAACCCATGACAATGCTTTAAAGGTTCAGTATCAACGTATTAATTTAGCAGTCTCTTTTCCTATCCAGAATTCGTACCGAAGGAAACACTTCATTTCCCAACACTGATGTGAACCCCTTCGCTGCAAACTAGAATCAAATAGAGCATATCAACAGTTTGCAGCACACCACCGACGCGACGCAGCAACCGTTATCTCGACAGCCGGAAATAAACACACAGAATTTCAAGTTCACCTGACAATCATCAGCAATGTCGTTTACGAGCGTCGAAAAGTGCATAGCTCTACACTCTCAGCAAGCTTCATGGAAAACCGGAACTGAAATTGCATTATTTTCAAAGCACTAACCGATCATACAAAAACGATGCTAGATAGCTGTTGTAATATATATTTATTCACCTAAGTATGTACATACATATGGGTATATGCATATTCCTCACCACATTCTGCTTGCTGTATGCATACCCATCGGCCGTGTACAGGGGAGGGGTTGGACGTAAAATGCATGCAAAGAGAAATGGCGCACACTTCTTACGGGCAGAGCAGTTGACCCTCATCGTATTTCTATTTTTACATCAAACGCATGATGTTCTTGAAAGTGTTTGATTCAATTTTCATTTCACATTCGTACATATGTATGTATTATGTTTGTGTACAGATGCATATCACTCATTTTCTGCCAGAGTGACATACTCAAAAAACATTTTTTTAGTTAAGTTCTGCTAAGCCCGGACAGACGTTGTCCTGCTACACACCGATACATAGGCATAGGTGTGAAGATGAAGTCGCATTTTAAAATTTGCATGCAATTAAGGTTACTAACAAATTTGTATTTTAACTCTTCAATAAGTTCATAATAAGCTTTATGCAATATAAATTCACACAATTGTTACAATAACACGTAATTTTTAAGCAAAATAAAACAACACAATTGTTACAATAACACGTAAATTTTAAGCAAAAAACACAACCGACTTCAATTCTCATATAAAAATTTAGAAGTACCGTTAAAAAATCTTCCGATGAATTGATAATAATAATAATAGATTGGCGCTTACACATATGTATGTTAGTGTTTGGCGGAGCTTCTCCTCCTGATAATCTCCCCTTTTTTCGAAGTCGGTTAAAAAGAAAAAAATTAACGAGATAAATTATTGTAAATTTTTAGTAGCTATATTTCAACATTTCTAATAAAATTTACATTAAATAATCTCAGCCCCAGAAAGGCCTTTAGAAGATATACGTATTTGCAATTAAATAAATTTTAATTATTTTAAAAACTGCTCTGCGATCACCAAATTCAAATTGATAAAAAACGCTTAAAATCGCCAATCTGGGAAAACTGCGAAATTACTTTTCTGTGTATATATATACAATCCAGACCTTCAGAAAAACTTGGTTTCATCAATTCCCCAGAAAAAAAAATTGAAAATGTCGTACAACGTTAGCATTGGCA